TTTTTTCCTGTATTTTTGATCAAATAAATGCAGCCTTGATGAGCAGAAGAAACTCCTTTAAAAAAACTAAAATATCGATCTGATCCCAAACTTTTGACCGGTAGTGTGTACATATATATATATATATATATATATATATATACAAACACACACACAACACTATCTCAAAGTTACAAAGTTTGTGCATTTATCATGATTATTTAGTGACAAAAATGCATTTTTGATCTGTGAAGTTGTCAAAATCATCCTTTTTTGGGTTGCGCATGTTGTGAAAATGACTGCTGTTTACCAGCTTTTCAAGGGTCATGGCATTAAAGCTAAAAGACTGTAACTTAACACAGAAAAGACTGTTGCATGATAATTTCACACTATTCTCAGTGTCTTTCTTATAACAATATATACTTTGTGCCACAATTGCTGTTGAGCTTAAAATCTTTTGTTATTGAATCGGGAGCATTGTTTTAATCTTTGATATGCTGGTAAGTGATAAAACTCTTACCTGTGATGGGATGTATGAAGTTAATCTGTTCTAAATCTCTAAATGAGTGAACGTGATGCATAAAAACTACAGTAAAAAAGCCCACTCAAGTAGTTTAATGTAGCCAGGCCGTAAGGGCCTGAAAGCGTCCCAGTCCTGCGGTGTTTGAGCTGAAGAAGGTGGAACGGTAGCGCTGCGCTCAGAGCCTTACAGCCAACTGGGGCAGTGAAACCAGGTCGCCCCCACGTGAGGAGAACTTCTGTTAAAAAAGGCCTTCTCCTGGAAGGGAAAGACTAATTATACTTCCTTCCAAAGTCACACTCTCTCTCTCTTTCTTTCTTTCTATCTGTCTGTCTCTCTGGCACGCTCAGAGATGTGGACCACGAGGCAGAGCAAATGCGCTGACATTGACACAGTTAAGATGCCATTTCAGGCTCCTCGTGTGAGGAGAGATGGCCTTCGAGTCAGGCCATAAAAACTGACCATCCGACCTGGTTCGACCTTTTTTTTCTGGTTCTGAATAAACATTTATAAATTTTTATGGTGCATCGTCTGGTTCTAATAAGCACTGAAGTTGTCGAAATGACATGTACACTATACTCAAGTTTCTTAACTAAAACTAAAACTCAAATAAAAATTAATAAAAACTATATATACATATAACCCCCTATTATTTAATTATTATCTATTACTTTAAATAAATAAATAAATAAAATGTATTTAACAGTATTTTACTGTAATGCCACATTAGATCTATTATAGTTATTCACCATAAATATTAAGGAAATTTACCGCAAATTTTGACAGTGTTTTACTGTTAAAAGTACAAACATTTTTACAGTGTAGCTCACAGATCTCATGCTTTGCACATTGCAACCTGTTAAAATCAGCATGTACATCAAACCTGATGTATCTTCACATACCAAGATGGAATATGTGCAAATATGAATAAGAAACCTGCACTATTTTGGTGACCAATTTCAATCTTTAATCACTTAACAACACTATCAAAAAAATACATCTACAAATTGCATCAAATACATCAAAAGTTCATCTGAAGTGAAAAAGTTAAGGTCCCATTCTGGGGGTGTCAATTTTATGGTTATTTACTGTAAATTATAAGATGTTCTTTTTCACTTGGAAAAAGTGTAAATTTAACAGTATTTTGCTGTAAAATTATATGAAATGTCCTATTAGATCTACAGTTTTTCACTGTATAGAGTAAGGGAGCTTTTACCACAGTATTTTTACAGTCTTTTACTATTACAATTATGATCATTTTTCAGCTCTCAGATCTCATTGACAAGTGAACTTATTCGTGCTTTGCACATTGTAACCATTTAAAACCAGCTGAAACCTGGTGCATCTTCACACAAGATTGAATATGTGCAAACATGAATAAGGAACCTGCAACATTTTGGTCTTTAACCTCTAAAAGAAACACTATCCCAAAGTTCCAAAGTTCATCTGCAGTGAAAAGTTGAGGCCCCATTCTGAGAAAGTCAGTTTTATGGTAAATTCAGAGATGACTTGTTCTTTTTCACTTACAAACATGACAAATTGAACAGTATTTTGTTGCAAAATTTCATGAAATACCTCAATATATTTATTACGTTTTTTCACCATATAGAGTAAGTGAACTTTTACTTTTACTATAGCATTTTTACAGTCTTTTACAGTATTTTTTATTTTTTTATTTTTTACAGCTGTCAGATCTTATTCAAACATATAGTTATTCATCCTTTTGGTCTCCAACTTTGATTTTTAAGCACTGAAGCCCAATTTATACTTCTGCGTCGAACCTACGCCGTAGCCTACGCATAGACGCACAACCTACGCCATAGCCTGACGTGCACCTCTCCAAAAATCTAACAGCGCGTCAATTCTACGTGGACCGCAAGCACTGCGATTGGTCTGCTAGAACCCCTCCCTCCGTATGTACTTGAGTTTTGTGTGCGTTTATGTGCACTTTAATATATTTTAATGTTACACCTTCTTATATAAAATAAAACAAAGCAAAGAACAAGTGTCTTATCATTTATTATCCTACATAGCATTATACATCAGTAGTTGTCCGCAACAAACAATGTTTATCTGCCGTGGTACAAGTCCTTGTGGAGACTGAAAGAATGCCATCTTCTCCTGTTCCGTTGATTTAATGATTTGATTTTTATTTGCCACCGTCACGGCTATAATACTTCGACGAGCTGCTTCTTCTTCGGCTTTTGCCGTGGTACTGCGGGTTACACCAGCAACATGCCCGTGGACACTGCAGACTAGCGGTTTGCATGTGTACTGCACGTCGACACGGACAACCACGCAGAAGTATAAATGAAAACTGACGCATAGCCTATGGCGTAGGTCCGACGCAGAAGTATAAATCAGCCTTGAGGCAACACTATCCCAAAGTTACAAAGTTCTTCTGGAATGACCAAGTTTGCTTGATGAAACCCGAAAACTGCATTAGTGAGAAAACACCATTAACTCCAGCCAGCACAATCTCAGATTGCCGCTGCGCAGAAAATCCATGAGGCAGTTGGGTCTCGAGTCAGAAAGCGTGTCCTTCGGGCCAAAGAGCAAAAACATTAATAGAATTTGAATCCCATTAGGCTGGTGTAAGTGGGATGTGTTGCTCTAACGCCATATTGAGAAGGAACATTGATTAATGGCTTTTGTTTGCTGCTGTAGAGCTCGCAGGCCTGAGGTCCTGAAAACCTGAGAGACTAAACCTCCACTGTTCATTATAACACAAAGTGCAATTAAAGTTGTGTGTGTATGTGAGAGAGAGAGAGAAAAGGATTGCCGGTTGCATGAGGCAAGAACCTCCAAAAATGGGAAAACAACAGAAACAATAGCATAAAAGGGGCAAATTGGCTTAAAGCTCTTGGGGGGACTGATGTGTTTGTATCTTTAAACTGGATGAAACACTAAACAAGTCTTTTTCAAAGCTGAGCAGAATTTGGATGGTGTTTTTTCTTTTTGAGAGCAGTGAAATGATCTTCGACTTTTTTCCCCCCTGCAGAGCGCTGGCGGACATTTTGAGACAGCAGGGGCCCATTCCCATATCACAGTACGATCATGAAAACATCGCCGCTATTGACACCTCGCCCAAAGAGAACACGCCTGTACGGACGTCCAAGAACCACTACACACCAGTGCACAACAAAAACAACCACGGTAGGTGACGGCACTTCTGTGTTCTCAATGGAAATGCCATGTTTTACACACTAACTAAAATGTACCATGGTATTACCGTTTTTTTTTGGGGCGGAGGTCACCATTAGAATTACATTTTCCATTTTTAGAATGTGGTTCTGTGGTAATTTTTTTTCTCATGAATATGGAATTATTTTTGGAATGTTCCAAAAATTTAAAATAAGTTACCATGGCAACAGGTTAATCTTAAAGGGGTCATATGATGTTGCTAAAAAGAACATTATTTTGTGTAAACACAGCGCCTTCATGACATGGGGGCAGCAACAATACTACAGCGAGAATAAAAGTTACGCCTTCTTTCTTTGCGTGAACATTTGGGCGGCGTTATGCAAATCTTCCCACATCGTGACGTAGACATGTGAGGGCGTGTTAGAACGAGCCGTTTTAGGTAGGCGTGGTTGACTCTTAACTTTTATAAAGACTATCTCTTTGGATTTGATACTTTAGTCTTTGCAACTTTACAGATCTTCTTTATGCACCAAGAGCTTGTAACACTCCAAAGAGAAAGGAAAAATCGCATCATCATGACCCCTTTAATTAGAGATTATCAATATTTCTACGAATGTTGGAAATTAAAATATGTATTCCTGTTGCTTATACACTAGAGCAAGGTTTCCCAAATGCAAAAAGGGGTTGAGAGTTGATGAAAGGCTAAAAATTTGTAAAAATATGAAATGTTAAATTAATAGGGCTGCAATTGAAATTGTGATATGGCTTCATGTTTTTAAATTGCAAAAGGCTGTGATTTGGCCTGGTGCGCTGCATGTTTACGTCCGAAATCATTTGGTTTGAAGTCTTAGTTTGTTCTTGTAAAGACTGGACCCAAGTGTAAACACCCTTAAAAGGCAACTCAATTTGCAATTGGACTGTGGTCTGTTTGTTATTTTTGCCTGGATGTTTCAACAGCAAAGATTAAATGTTTATCATATTGCAGTACAAATTGCAGCTACAATATATGACAAAAAGGTATTTTATTTTTTTTGATTCACATTGGTTGCATCAGAAATCACATACTGTTTAGCAGGTACTACATTTGGTTGGAATCTTACTTCATGACTGTTAAAATATGTTCATATAGTATGAATATGTGTAGTATAAATGAAATCTGGACGTACTACTTCAGCCATGTTGTTACTGTCACGCAAACTACCAGTGTGCAGAAGAAGTACAGTACATCATCCAGGTACATTTCACCTACTGTTTTTCCAATAGTTTGAATACTATCACTGAAAGATACCACAGTGTGAACACCCTTAAAAAGTGTCTACTTCAATTGGCAATCACAATATATGACAAAATAAGCACAAAATATTTTTCAATCAAATTGTGCATCCCTATACTATAATTTAAAATAAAACACTTACTAAAAAAGATTAAATATATTATTTGTTTTTCAGAATTGACTCCTATGTCAAATTTTATTCTGTATATAAATCATAATACATATATGGGGCATGAAATAAATTATATATATATACACACACACACACACACACACACACAGGTTCTGTTCGGTTTAAGACAGAATCTGATATGAAAGTCATAAAAGTGTTTGTTTATCAGTCATTTATTACTGCCCTTATCCTGCTCTTTATGAAATGATGGAACAAACTTGATACTCTAAAGCAGGGATGGCCAAATACAGTCCTGGAGAGCCACAGTCCTGCAGAGCTTTGCTCCAACCCTGATTAAACACACCTGAACAAGCTAATCAAAGTCTAATGCCGAGTTCACACTGCACGATTTTAGCCCGATTTTTCACTCGCCGACAGGTTTTGCGAAATCGCCGACAAATGCCAGACATCGGAGGCAAATCGGTGCTCGTTCACGCGAGTGACAATCACGCAGTGTGAATGATCAACATAATTGTTACTAGAAAGCTACAGGCGGTGAGTTTTTATCAAGGTAGAAGCAAAGCTCTGCAGGACTGCGTCTCTTCAGGCCACCCCTGCTCTAAAGGTTTGAGTCCTGAATGATGCAGTGAGTAAGTAAATTTACAGCATCTAACTCAGACAAACACTAACATTCAGTGCTGACAAAAGGTTTGGGAACCCCTGCAGTAGATCATGGGTTCGATTCCTAGAGACTGTATGATCTGATAAAATGCATACCTTAAATGCAGTACAAGTCACTTTGGATAAAAGCATCTGCCAATACATAAATGCAAATGTAAAGTTGTATATGTGTGTGGGTGTGAGCATATGCTTAGGAGTTTATTTGCGTCGGTATTTTTGAGCACTTCTTGATCGAGTTGTTTCATAGCATCACGCTGTTCGCTGTACAAGCTAATATCAAAACTCAAATGTGAATGAATTCCCCATTCACACTGAGCACAGCAGTCAAACAGCCATCAAAACATGCTCTGATGCACCGACAACACGCTTTCACTGACTCCAGTTCAGTGTTAGCATTAATGCAGATGTACTGTCTCGTATGTTTTTGAGCTAATCAGTGGTTTGGCTTGTTGTACATCAATATTCAAAATGCTTGTGAATAAACTAAATGCAGCTGTATTTGAATGAGGTCAGCTGTTGGGATTAGTGCTGGATGTTAGTGTTTGTCTGAGCGAGATATGAGTTTAAAGTTTACTCACTCGCTGTAGCATTCACGACTCAAACATTTGGAGCGGCATTTATAAAGTTTGTCCTGTAATTTAATTAAAAGCACAGGAAAAGGCAGCAATGAATGACTGATAAACAAACCCTTTGATGACTTTAATGTCAGATGCTAACTGAATCTGGGTCATTCCCACTATGCAGCACATTTTCATGGCCCAGTCATATATTTTGTCTTATACTGAATAAAATATTATACTGAATAAAGAACTTAGAATATATTAGATGGAAACCATACTAGTTAAATTCCTGCAATCACAATATACAAAAAAAACTTGTTTAAATTTTTTTTTAATAATTATAT